TTATACATATATAATCTATATTATTTATAATATAAATAGAAATTAGTTAATTTATTACAGATTTTAAAAAATTCAATGTTGTTTCACTTGTTGCCATTTCGCATGTACCTTTTATAGTATCTCATTTGTAGCTCTGAACTGAATTAATTGAATAAAAGCGATTTGCTCTTCGATTTAACGTATAAATATATTTCGAATTTCGTTTCAAGTTTGTTTCAAAGAGTTAAAATTTTGTTTCGAACAATAGTTATATAAATTCTAAATTGGATTGAAAGACGTATTTCATTATTGATTATAATATTGTCATACATTCACATTCGTTATCCGCGGTGAAATTAATCAGAAATTCGTCCTGCAAGTGCTTGCATTCACACCGAAAACTTCCGCGCACGAACTCGCCGCCGCTTCGCGATCGTGTTACGTGAAACTTTGCGAAAGTGCGGACGCTCGTTAATCCATAAAGCGGCGCGGTTTCGCAGACTGCAGCTGCAAACTGTCGCTGGCGGACTGCGCCGGCGTGTTTCACCTTTAAACTTCGGCTTGATAAGGTTCCCGAAGAGCCACACTTGACAGCTTCATTTTGCGACACTTCTCTTGACGTATCAGTTGTTCAGACATGATTGAGACGATCAAGATCGGATAAATTGTTAAATCGAATAAATTATTATTTAATAATACCACGCCCTGGATATAAGGAAAAGCTACGAGATTAAAAATGTAATATACTTTATCTTCATATAAACTCGATCGATTCCCACAAAATATTTATTTTACAATTTCGAAGAGGCAAATCCATCTTTTCGAAAATAAAGATAAATGCATAATACATAATTTGTGATCGTTATTAAACGACACTTATAAATAATTTATAATCTTTTTCAATTGCACAACTTTGCTAAGTAAATATTTCATGGATTTAAACTCTTCATTTCTCGGTGACATATAGTTTCTTGCTGTGTTTTCTTGAATGATAATCCTTCATTCAGAAAGTTATGTGTTGTGGTAGTGACAAGAAAGTGTTTGTTATTGCACACCAACACAATTATCCATTAGGAGTTGCTGTTGGTTCTTTGGAAACTTAGTGGCATGGCAAGGAATACTTTATTAGCCGCGTCTAATGATCGACAATAGATGCGCTCGAGTAGCAGTAAAATGAAGTTTAACTCCTGATTTTGCTTTCGAGAGCACCTTCTTGAATCGATTCGGTTCGAATGAATCACAGAGATTCCACATTGATTTTGCGGGATAACTATGTGCAGAGCACGTATAGTATATATAGGATCGTGAATAATGTCTACCACTAATTTCATGAAATTTCCTATTGTAAGCATTTGGTCGCGTAAATCTTGTGCAAGATAATGATCTTATATGATTATAAGAGAAAAATTATGAGATATAGGAAAAGTTGGAGATTAGAGGAGAAAATACATACATATATTTTAATAAAAGTAAATTTTTACAAAAGTTTCATAATAGGAATGAGAGAGAAATGAGAAATGAGGTACCGAATTATTCAATTAGTAAAATTTATTTTTCAATATTATGCTCAGTTGTTATTAGATGCATTTAAAAATAATGAATTTTTTCATGGACAAAAACTCATCTATTTATTTTCTTTTATTTATTTGTTTTTTTTTTCTTCGAAGAATGATATAATTATATAGTTAAGATTATAGGAAAGAGTAGGACTATAATTTAAAAAAATCAGAATTTTATTTATTGCAGCCTTCTTTTTTTAACTTCCAAATATATATTATTATTATTATTATTATTATTATTATTATTAGTTATATGAAATAAATAACGTAAATGCATAATATAGTGAAATGTTGTTTTAAAATAATTGCAATTTAACGAGCTGTTATTGCATTTTTATTATATACATAATAAACTTGTGTGGGTATGATTCGCTTTCGATGCTACTGCAAGCTTTGTATTTTATTTTCACAGAGAGACAGACATAAAACAGAGAAAGGTGCTCAGAATACATATTCAAAATATATTATTGTAACGTTTTATAATGTAAAGGCAAAAGTGCAAGCATGCGTAGGTTGTAACATTTCACATGACACATCAGAAAGTCTATTTGCAACTTCCTGAATAAAGTTTACATTTATTGTTGAGTATTATTGTTTTGTCAAATTATTTTCAAATGATGTGACAAGTTATTTCGCTATTAATATTCTTTTTACTTACAAATTTTTTGATCGATTATCTTCTAATAATAATTATAAAAACTAAAAATCATTTATTCTTGTGATTTAAAAATTTTTAATATTGAATGTCTGTTTTAAAAATAAAAAATTTTAAATAAAAAATTCATACATATATTTGTGAAATAAACTATATAAAATATATCTTTTTTTTCCATTTCTCTTCAAAATTTATTTTGTCCAAATCCCTTAATTTTTAAATAAATCGCGTAAAATAAATAACAACTCAATATCTCGTATAAATCTTTTTAGCTTATAATCTATTTTGAAAGAAGTTCAATGACTGCGTTCAGCAGAAAAAGCAGCTTTGTAACTGTTATAAAATTCTTAATATAATTGATTTACAAAATTTCGTAGATCCAAGACCTTGATTGGCTTACATTTAGATCCAATAAGGAACTAAATGCAAGATCACATTAAAAACTATATTTAAAAATTTTACAATAGTTGTAGAACTACTTTTTCTATTAAATACAGCCATTAATTATTAAAAATATATGTAATAGCTTAGAACATTTTTCATAATTATGTATATGTAATTATGTAAATGTAATAAGAAATAATAAATGTATCAACTTACAAAAATTGATTAAAAGATAATTTAAAAAAACAACTATATTGATTTACAAATACATAAATGTTTTATATAGTAAGTTTTATTAGTAAGTATCAAAACAAATTTCGCACATTTTAATTAAGAGATATTGATTTCCATTTCGGTACATTTTCTCATGGATCTAGTTATGTACGAGAGTCCGGGGATAAAATTTACAGCAGCTTGCTTAAGCTCATTTCGCATCAGAAGAAGTTTATCTCGTTTGCGCTTGGCGTTGTGCATTGCCCTATTTTTCTGCGTCAGATTTTATGAAACCACCGCTACACTCCACAAAAGAAAGTTGGCGAATCTGAAGAATGTTCAAAAACTTTCAAGCTTTATTAGACTTGTGATAACATTTGTATGTTATTGAAGCAAACTTTTATTAATTATATAATTAATTAAATTATTTTTACGGTAACACGATACTTTTTGACTTTTAT